GATCAACTCGGCGAGTCCATGGGTAGACTCGGCGAGTAGGGTCGCGATTCTGGTAGCATGTTAAGTGGCCAACTCGGCGAGTCGGTGGCTGGACTCGGTGAGTTGGTGCTGTGTAGAGAAAACCCTAATCTCAGGGGTTGAGCCCTATATAAAGAACATAATACCCTCTCCCTAGCCTCTTTACTCTCCCTTGAATTCCATAAACCCTAATATTCGTTTGTGAGAGAATTAGAGAGCATTTGGATCTTAAAGAAGTGTTTGTTGAAGAGATCTTTGAAGATTAAGGGGCTTGGAGCAAGGAGCTTTACAAGGTTTTGGCTTATTCTTTTGTTGGAGTCTTCACTTGAGGTAATGATTCATTGCTTGAGCAGTTATCCATCTAGATCTATCATTTGTGGGATTTTTTGGAGTATACCTAGTGCTATCTTGAGTTTGGAGGTTGGATCTAAGGTTACTACCTCATATCTAGAGTAGTGATGATCCAAAAGAGCATAAAGTCCCTGTTCAAGAGTTGTTGATGAAGCCTTTTTGTCCCAAACCCTAGCCTAGAGTGTATTATGCTTAGATCTCCTTGGATTCACGTAAAGTTTGCCACTTTACATGATGGATGGCTTGTATAAGAGTAGATCTATGGATTGGAGACCCCACATGGCTTGGAAAGCCTCTGTATGGATTAAGAACTAGAGGTACTCGGCGAATCACATGGGTGTACTCGACGAGTTGGATGAAGAAAGGAAGGAACTCGACGAGTTGGAAGAACAACTCGGCGAATCTGTTGAAGATTGCCTTGGACTTGGCGAGTCTGTTCTTGGACTCGTCGAGTCTAGTAGCGAAGTCCTAACCGTTTTGGTTGAGTTGTGAATCGGTGAGTCGATGGACAACTCGGTGAGTTGAGCAGGAGGTGACTCAGAGTTCGTAGGACTCGGCGAGTCTTGGGGCGACTTGGCAAGTTGGGTCGTGATATGGGAGTTTTCAGAGCATAGGTACTCGACGAGTCAGCGAGCTAACTCGGCGAGTAGAGTCAATCTGGAAGTTTGACTTTGACTGAGGACTTTGACTGAGGACTTTGACTTTGACCAAGAGTTGACTTCCAAGAGTAATTTGGTAATTATTGGTATTTATTGAGTTCAGTCTTTTGGTATGATCAATGGTAGAGTTCGTGTTGGAGGTTGGAGCAGCATGATCTTATCTCTTCAGCCAGCAATTGTGAAGTGAGTTATTCTCACTATATCGACAGGGTCTAAGGCACCAAGGTCGGCCCTTTATCGGATTGTAATCCGGGCAGTGTTGTTGTGTTATTGCTTTGCTATGCTTGCATCCTGGTAGTTAGGATAGTATACGTTAGTGACCGGTTAGGTCGGTATCCTGTTTAGAGTATGCTACGTATATGATCTGCTAGATCGGTTAACTGATGATTAATTGTTATGTGGTTATATGTTTATGTGCACATGGATGGTTGACTGGGGTTGGGTTGAGGCGGGTCCTGCTTTGTGCTGTATGCCAACATACCCAGGGCGGACCGGATATCCCGAAGGCCTAGCGAGCGGTCCGGATAAGCTGTAGGCCCCACGAGGGCGGACCAGACATGCCGAGGCTCGGAGAGTGGACCATGCTGACTGAAGGCCCGATGCGGGCGGACCAGTCATATTGTAGACTCAGAGAGTGGACTAGGTGGGTTGAAGGCCCGGTACGGGCGGACCAACCACACTGCAGACTCGATGGATATGGCTAGACTCGGAGGGTGGACCAGGTGGACTGAAGGCCCGGTGCGGCGGACCAGTCACATAGTAGACCCGAAGTGCATGGTTGTTATATATTCTGTTATGATATGGCATGTTGTGTGTATGGTATATGTGGTTGGTATTTTGGGGGTATCTCACTAAGCTTTCGGGCTTACAGTTGTGGTTTAAACGTTTCAGGTACTTCAGGAGACTGTGGCAAGGTAAAGGCATGATCGTACCACTCCTCATGTTTTATGTGTTTATGATACGGTTCTGGAAAAATATTCTGATAACAAATGTATTGAAAACCTTTTTATAATAACTTTATGAAATTGGGTTGTTTTTGAAAAGTTTAAATTGGCTTGAATTTTATGGTCGTTACAGATATGTTTATATGCATGTCAGGCTCAGCTCAATGTCGGGCGGGGACCGATGCTTGATATAATCCGATGTCGGGCGGGGCCCACTATATGTGATTATGTGTACGGTATGTGGTAGTTTGGGGACATTTACTAAGATTCGTGCTTACGGTTTTTAATTTTGGTTTCAGATACTTCTGGTAGCAAAGGGAAGAGCTCAGGATGACTATATTGCACACACCATGATGTTAGTCTGAGATGTTTACTCTGATATTTTGATACTCTGATTTATGAATATGATTGGATGTTTTTAACAAATGATGTTTATTTAATAATTTAAAAACGAAATTTTTGGCACCATATTTTATGAGTGTTGCAATGTTCATTCAATTAACCGAATAAACATGAACATGTAAATAAACAAAAAATTTTATTTGTGTTCGTTGGGATAATAATTAAATGAATATAAGCGATCACAAATTAACAAACATAAATAAACAAACACATGTATATGTGCTTCGATTTCACGGGTATATGAAAGTGTTTGTAACATCCCAAATTTTCAACAAATTTTTTCATTTAGAAAAAAAAACATAAGTAAACAACATCAAACATCATTTCAAAGGTACATAAAACACATTTTTTTTTCAGAAGCCATAAAACATACATAAAGAAGCGGTAAACATCTTAAGAAGAAAAATAAACATGATCAATGTGTTCAAATGCAACCAAAAACATAAAATCATGAAGGCCTAACCAGTTAGGTAGTGTTTGTTTTTTGTCTGCAGATCTGCGAGATGTCTTCTGTCTGCGCCGCGCAGACCACGCGCAGACATTAGTCTTCGCAGACTGTTTGTTTTTTTGAAGACTGCAGACCTAAAAATGTCTGCGCGCCCTCTTCTTGGCGCAGATGTGGACCAGAGTCTTCTAACATCTTCAGACATCTTCTAGCTTAAAAAAACATATATATCTTTATTTTTTTAAGTTTTTTTTTAATTTATATTTTTTCCAACTTTAATGATAAACAATATGAAAAAAAAATTACAAAACTTAAAAAAAAACATTTGACGATACAAACATGATATTTTTAACAAATTTATAAATAAAAATTTATTATAATAATAGTCGTTGAAGTTGTTTATATAAATATGAAAAAAAAAAATCATAATATATTCTTATATTTTTTTGCCAAAATTTTGTAAAACTTTATTTAATAGAGTATCATCAATTTCTCGAGAAAATATTTATCGTACGTTTTTAATAGATTTATTTGAAAAAATCGAAGTTTATTTCCATCTATTTATGTATCAAATTCTTTGATCACTAATTATAATGTTTAGTTATAACTTTACAATCAAAGTTGTTGGTTTTTATCAAATATGTATATGAATTAATACCATTTTTATTTTTATTTTTTATATAATAATACATAAAAATTGATCTAGATTCGTTATATATTTATAAGAAAGTCGTAAAAATATATAAAAAATTCGCTTTGAAGTTTAAAAAAAATCAGTTTATTTAGATTTCAGTTTATTTTAATAGCCCGCAGATGTTAAAAAAACAAACAGTCTTCTTTTTTCAGACTGCAGACGTTTGGTCCACCTCTTCTACTGCAGAGGTCTACAGATGTGGTCCGCAGACTGCAGACATTTTGTCTCAGAAAAAACAAACAGCACCTTAGGCTCAATCCAATGTGGTATTGCGGGGCGGGGGTGGTTAAGAAAAACAAATCGAACTGAAAAAACAAATGTTTGTTTATAAAGACAACCTTAAAACTTATATTTAAAATAATAATAATAATAATAATAATAATAATAAAACTCATTACACAGAGTAGTTTTAGATATTTTAAAAGTTTACAACTATTTTTAAACTTTTATATCTATACTTTTAGATATTTTAAAAGTTTACAACTACTTTTATTTAACATTTCTTCATAGGTAAAAACTTTAAATTTTGGTTTCAACATAACAAAACATAAGTTAATGACTTATAAGGATAATATAATTTATATTTTGTTCACACTTAGTCTATTTTTTGTTTAAATATTGCTATCGAACTTGTTTGGACTATTTACATTACATATTTTATAACCGGTTCATATAAGTTTTAGCCGGTTTACGGCTCCCTTGCAGCTACAATCATGTTCACCAATGTGACCGGCCAATATGATTTTTCCGGCGAGTTTTTGGCACATCAAAACACCCACACAAATATCACATCACTCCACTCCACTCCACTAGTTTTTTCTCCGACATGTGCTTATAAACAAATCCACATACATATACACTAGCTAGAATGTGTGTTCATCTTGTGTCCATTTTTAGATCTATCATGAATAAATACATTTTTTTGATATGCTTACATACACACACATTTTAGATCTACGAGATGTTATATATGTTGATGTTTAGAATCAGAATCTTAGTTTGTTCTTGCACACACAAATTTCCAGGTCTACTCAGAAACACATATTCGAGTGTATGCGTGAGTGTTTGTGTTTTCTAGTGTGCTAAGAACTCGCCGGAAAAATCATAATGGTGAGATTCATAAGAGAAACCGACCAATCAAGGATACCAGAAATTGACAAAAACCTACACCACCTAGTCATAAATATGTAATATAAACAGTCCAAACAAATTCTATTATAACATTCGGAGAAAAAAAAACGACTAAATATAAACAAAACCTAAAGTATCATCTGTGCGATGATATGAGTTTGTTGTGTATGAAGACAGTGTTATGTACATATGGTAATTTGATCAATGCACATAGTATTACTATTATTACAATTACAATAGTTGAGATAGAATTCCGGTTCATATACAACATTAGCGGTCGAGTCCAATCAAAGTGAGAAAAAAGAAAAAGAAAAAAAAATCAATCAATCATTGTCGTTAAACAAAACCCTAAAACCCTAATCTTCATCTGAACTAGAACTATCCACCCGTCGCTGAGCAATCGCCGGAAATAGCATTTGCCGGTGATCAGAAAAAGGATTTTGACGAGAAGGTTCAGAGGTACCTCCGGCAGACACGTCATCACCTTTTCTTGGAGTCCCAACCTGCAACTCATCGTTCTTCTCTGTTGTCGGTGGTTTTACTTTTACAGGTTCCTTCTTAACCTCTTTGCATACCTTATCTAAAATTATCAAAAAATCACGAACGATTACAAATAATCTCAATCCCTCATCCTTCCCGGAGTGTCCATGGAAGTAATCGGTTGTGTTCTTAATCAGATTCATTATCCTCTTTTCTTCTTCAAGCATCCACATAATCTCCTTCTCTGCGATCTTCACAAAATTCAACAAAACTCTCTGAAACTCGTCTCCTTCTTCTATCTTCTTCAAATCCGTATTCAAAAACTCACGAGATTTCACCAATGCCCGACCAAGCCTCGACACCGAACTGGTCAACCCATCTGCATCAACAATGGCGGCTTTTTTAACACTCTCAAGCTCACTGCTCAAACCAGACACCACTTGAAGGCCAAGAACACGATAACGCTCTTCTGTTTCTTGTGAAGAAGCTGAAGTTTCTTTGAGAAGATCATCGGTTTTGAAACTCCTAGATTCACGGGTAGTTCGGGCAGCTTTTATACCTTCTGATCGGATAATCTCCTGAACAACAAAATGTAAAAGCGTTGTTTTCCCATCGATTCCTTTAACATCTGATAATTTCAACAGTGTATCCAGTTTGAATGCTTGTGCACTTCCACGAAAAGTTCCATCGTTCATCCGATTCCCGGTTTTCAAAACCGCTTCCAGAAGTTTCAGGAACAATCGGCTTTTTCTAAGTGATACGCAAGCAGCCTGTAAATCGTGAAATTAGGTTAAAATTAAACGTCTACGATGTAATTAGATGCGAAGATTTGAAGCTTTTTACCTCTAGAGTTACGAAGGATTCTTTAATCATGGCTTCTTCTTCCTGGAAATTACACATAAAGAGCAGCGATTCTAGTCTTTTGAAAGCAAATGGGATTTCAATCAAAGGTTTTAAAAAACGTTCTGCGGTTCCAAGATGAGAGAGATCGCCATTGTACATACGGAGCTTCAGTTCTTCATCGGAAGTTGGCGCCATTTTTATCAAAGTTTGAACAAGCTCCGCCGGAAGTTCGTTTCCTGTTTGAATTCATACATACAGCTTAGAACTAAGATCAAAACAAAAAAAGTGGGATAAAATTATGAAAAAAGTTTACCTTCTTTTAATGCGTCACAGATTTCTTCGGTTGTCACGTTCAATGCTTTTAGGAGAATAGACAGATTCTGAGCTTTTTTTGGATCGATGATTTGAATATATTGGAAAGTGGGATCTTGGGATGCAGAATTCTTCCTTGAGTGATCTTTGTTTTTGTCGGTGGCGTTATACCCGAATAAAGTTTCGATCATTTCTTCGCTGAATCTGTTAATTT